CAACCAACAATCTCAGAAAGATCTCCACCATTGCCACCATTAGTAGTAGAAGAGAAAAAAAATTCCAGTATTTATACCATAGTTTGTAGATGCTATAACTTTCACACAAACCAATCAATATATACTTTTTTGGGATTTTTTTTTTATCAAAGCCATGTACCAGAATACAAGAAGATAAAAAAATTAAGTGAGCGCTGCAGAGCACAAAGCAGCTGAAACCCCAAGGCAACCAAAAAACCTCTAAATAAATAATAGTATAAAAGATGGGTGCAGCGCTAAAAGTCAATGTGCAAAATTCTGAATATGGACAATAACCATTGCATATAAGGTGCCGATCATAACAAATAAAGTGACATAAGTGTTAGGACATATGTAAACACAATAAATAAAGTGCATAAATGAGAACCACAAACAGTGGTTAAAGTGATAAGTGAATGTCCAATATTATTAAACGTGAGGATCATAAGAACTCCAAGAAGTAATCAATTCTTTATCCGGAGTGGTAGATGGGATGACCGATTTGAAGTAAATTGCGCACTCACCAGATGCGCAAATTAATCACGCATTTGAGATAAACTGCCTCATCAGGTCAGCCATAACATCCACTCTGGAGATAGTCAGATTCCAGCTCCCTTCAGGGTCCTTCAAATGGTACCAGTAACGTCAGGTCTCCTCTGAGATGGGCTTCTTCAGTAGCCTCCCTGTCACCCTCTTCCCCACTTCCGGTTCTGGATTCTCCTTTCTCCGCGTGCTTCTGGAGGTGCAGAACACTCTCTCTTCCCCCACGTGTTTCCGGTGTGAGCTTCCAGGTTGTGCTAACCTTGGCTGTGCTGTGCTGGGAGGACAGAGGGGAGTGTGTGGTGAGTGCATTGCCACACTGTGGCGGGAATCTGGGGATCACCCCAATAACTGGCCAGGACCTTCACAGGGCCCAGAAGCTCGGCTGGCATCCTGCAGCCCCTGTGATGGTGTCACCCAGTGTGGCCCACAACCCCCCCAGGGATGCCATTGGGCAACCCTATTCTGGACACTCCCTAGCATGGAAAAAGCCGCTTGGATAAACTATGACATGTCTTAGACATTACAGAACAAATCAAGCTGAATGTGAACAACTACTACTCACCATATTGGATGTACCTTTATAGCCTTTGTTTCGTCTCGGCTGCTGATGGCCTCCAGTTCCCAGAGTCATTTTCTATCTACATACACTTGTTCCTGTCTACATACACCTTCTCTGGTCATTGGTCCAGCTTCCTGATAATGGTGGACCATGTCTGAGCAATGCATGAGAGCGTGACCGCTTCTAATTTCCACGGGTGACAACACAGGAACACAATTGGAAGACAGTTGTCGCCCTATAACGGGATATGCCTGAACAAGGACCGCCATTGCAAGACCACCTGGGATTAGCTGCAGATTTAATAAATTAAAAACTACTTTGGGATTACTACTACTAAATTTGGAATAGTTCGGACATGATAAATCTTATATGAGGTTGTAGTGGTTGGGTTTAGATCTATTTAAAAAGGTATTCATTCCATTTAGCAACATTCATCATCATTCATTACTTTGTGACAGAGGAGCTAGCACAAAAAACTACAGTCAAACCGCAACGTGCCGTATTTTAAAGCTGCAATGCTTACCATTGCATTGGGGAGAGGTGTAATCTAATAGTAACAACTATAGAAAATGCCTCTCCATGAGATCTAGAACATTGCTGGGCATGCCTGTAACTTGACCCCAAACTCTGTACAGATCTAGAAAAAACAATGAGCAGGACAATGAGAGACCTGGAAAAATTGTCTACAGAGTGTTGTTGCCGTTGTTGCAACACACATATATTTTTTGTTAGTGTTAGAAAAACATGGCTGGCTCTGGGTTCAATGGTCCAGATTAAGCGCTAGAACAGCACGAAATGCGTTGACTTTCCTTTGTCACCGCCAGTGGTGTCCCTAGGCGGGTGCGTGCCACACCGGCTGAGACCTGTCGCACGGAGTGACAATGGTCCTGATTAAGTGCTAGAACAGTGCGAAATGCGTTGACTTTCCTTTGTCCCCGCCAGTGGTGTCCCTAGGCGGGTGCGCACCGCACCGGCTGAGACCTATCGCACGGGGTGACAATGGTCCTGACTAAGCGCTAGAACAGCGTGAAATGTGTTGACTTTCTTTTGTCCCCGCCAGTGGTGTCCCTAGGCGGGTGCACGCGCACCAGCTGAGACCTATCGCACAGGGTGACAATGGTCCTGATTAAGCGCTAGAACAGCGTGAAATGTGTTGACTTTCTTTTGTCCCCGCCAGTGGCGTCCCTAGGCGGCTGTGCACCGCACCGACTGAGACCTATCGCACGGGGTGACAATGGTCCTGATTAAGCGCTAGAACAGCGTGAAATGTGTTGACTTTCTTTTGTCCCCGCCAGTGGCGTCCCTAGGCGGCTGTGCACCGCACCGACTGAGACCTATCGCACAGGGTGACAATGGTCCTGATTAAGCGCTAGAACAGCGTGAAATGTGTTGACTTTCTTTGTCCCCGCCAGTGGCGTCCCTAGGCGGCTGTGCACCGCACCGACTGAGACCTATCGCACGGGGTGACAATGGTCCTGATTAAGCGCTAGAACAGCGTGAAATGTGTTGACTTTCTTTTGTCCCCGCCAGTGGCGTCCCTAGGCGGCTGTGCACCCGCACCGACTGAGACCTATCGCACGGGGTGACAATGGTCCTGATTAAGCGCTAGAACAGTGCGAAATGCGCTGACTTTCCTTTGTCCCCCCTAGCCAGTGGTGTCCCTAGGCGGGTGCACGCCGCACTGGATGACACTTATCACACGGGGTGACACCGGACCAGGGGCGGGCTGACAACTCATGGGGCCCCCGGGCAATAGGGGATCATGGGGCCCCTGTGTCCTCACCCACACTCAAACCACACCCAAAAAAGCCTAGGAAAGGTACCAGGGGTATTTCATGGGGCCCCTTACTGACCCCGGACCCTCACTGCAGTGCCTGAATTTCCAAATGGTCAGTCCCCTGCACCGGACCCTCTCCATGAGCTCCACGAAAAGGAAAGTTGTAAAGCAAGCCAACGATCCCCGCAAGATGGATCGGATCTACGGATTGAGCATAATAGATCGGACTCCAATCCATTATGCTCCCCAATCCGCAGATCTGATACATCTTGTGGGGATCGTCGGCTTGCAACCTATACAGGGTTAACTGATCTAGGTACAGCTGTGCAAGATCTGAGACTTGTCTGTAGTCAGGAAATGTGGCCGCAATAGCAGGAACCTCCTCCATCTGACATCACTTCTCGAGCATGTGCAGACCGGACCGGTGATGACAGATCAGTTAACCCCGTCAAGCCGACGATCCCCACAAGATGGATCAGATCTGCGGACGGGGGAGCATAATGGATTGGACTCCGATCGATTATGCTCAATCTGCAGATCCGATCCATCCTGCGGGGATCGTCGAAGGGGGGGACACCAAGTGTTACCGCACCGGTGACACCAACCCTAGGGACGCGCCTGGTCCCCGCCATCATTGGGGTTTAGGTGCTGTTTTACATGCATCAGTAAAACGTGCAGCCATCCAAATCTTCCTTTAGGCCTCTTTTTTATCCGTTTGACAAAAACGCATGTAAACAGACAATAATGGCTGCAGTCAGGGGCAGACTGACAACTCATGGGGCCCCTGGGCAATAAGGGATCATGGGGCCCCTGTGTCCACACCCAAAAAAGCCTATGAAAAAGCCAATAAAAGGTACCAGGGGCATCTCATGGGGACCCCTACTGACCCCAAGCCCTCGGGCACTGCCCGAGTGCTCGAATTTTCAGTCCGCCCTTGGCTGCAGTTTATATCCGTTTTTGCCTATTTACATCCATTTTTTTTCTTCCATTCAACGAAAACAGATGTTCACAGATGCGGACATTGACCGCTTGTGCTCCTGATGATTTACCCCTCCTTCCTAACTAAGCCATTTTATGCGTTACGGCACTGTGTTTCTTTAACTGACAATTGCGCTGTCATGCAACGCTGCACCCAAATGAAATTTACGTCCTTTTGTTCCCACAAATTCAGCTTTCTTTCGGTGGTATTTGATCGCCTGTGCGTTTTTTGATTTTTTTGGGCACTATAAACAAAAAATCTGACAATTTTGAGAAAAAAACAATATTTTGGACTTTTTGCTATTAAACATGTCCAGTAAAAAATTTTAAACGTCAAATTTCATCATAGGTTTAGGCCAAAATGTATTCTGCCCCGTGTCTCAAAAATCCCAATACGTGTAAATTAAGGTTGGTTTACGTGAAAGTTATAGTATCTACAAATGGCGGTATAGATACTGGGATTTTATTTTTTACTAGTAATGACGGCGATCAGTGACTTGTAGCGGGACTGCGATTCGGACATTGAGGGGGGAACTGACTTGGTGTCACTGACATCCTCAGTGACACCGATACAGTGATCAGTGCTAGAAAAAAAAAAGCACTGACACTGTACTAATGACACCGGCAGAAAGGGGTAAACATGTGGGGCGCTCAAAGGGTTAACTGTGTTTTGTGTGCCTTTGTGTGGCTGTGTTTGTGCTTCACTGTAATCACACTTCTTTGCATGGCTGTGTTGTGCACAGCCATCCAAAGCAGCATGCAGGAGCAGACAGGGAGGAGAACTGTTTTTTGTTTACAAACCGTTCTCCCCCCCCCCCATCTGAGATTATTATTATACAGTATTTATATAGCGCCAACGGTTTGCTCAGCGCTGTACATTATAATGGAAGACAGTACACGAGACAGCACAGTAACAATACAATACACAAGGGGTTCGAGGTCCTCAGCAATCACCGGGCGCCGGCGAGTAATCACCGACCGGGATCCAGTGATTGACAGCCACGGGCGTGAATGGCGGCGCGGGCGCGCCCCTTACCTGGAAATGCAAAATCACGTATATATACTTGATTTTGCACACCGTGCCGCTCTGTAGCAGTATTTCTGCTATAGGGAGGTCTGGAAACCGTTAATGAATGTAAACAGATGATCATCCGTTTATATCCACTAGTCCATAGAAATACATGGGACATACGGAACGTCCGTGTGAAAGGGGCCTTATTCACATAGATCTAGGTTCAAATGGACTGTTTGTTTACAACAAGTCATTGTGTACCGGTTGTATATGTCATATTGCTTTACAATTTTATGATGTTTGGATGTTACAGAATGTTAAAGTCAGGGGCGGACTGACCATTTGGGCACTAGGGCACTGCCTGAGGGCCCAGGGTCAGTAGGGGGCCCCATGAAAGCCTCTAGTACTTTTTTTATAGGCTTTTCTGAGTGTGGGCAAGGACACAGGGGCCCCATGATCCCCTATTGCCTGGGGGCCCCATGAATTGTCAGTCCGCCCCTGGTTAAAGCTGAACCGAAAATGCAAAAATAATTGCAGTTCTGAAATCAATAGATAAAGAAAATTAAAGGTACCTGAATTTGACCTGCTATCAGTTTCTTGCTCATACTGGAGCCAATCATTTCATGTGCTGATAGGAGGAGAGAGCAGAGTGACAGAGAAATTAGCATGTGCTGCTTCTCCTTTCACTGTCCCATCAGAGGCTGGGAGTCAAGACAAGCTGGGATCAGAGAAAGTGAGTTGAATAATGCTGGCCATCAGAGTAAGGACATCTACTGGCAGAAAAAAAAACTACTGCAGGGAAATCTCTGGATTTATTATTATTTCAGGTACCTATATAGCGCCATCAATTACGCAGCACTTTACATATATATTGTACATTCACATCAGTCCCTGACCCTCAAGGGGCGTACAATCTAAGGTCCCTAATTCACATTCATACAAACACATACTAGGGACAATTTAGACAGGAGCCAATTGGATCTCTCCACACCAGTGCGCTGCAGGTGCACTGCGTTTGTAAAAATCCTGCATTCTGCAGCTTTGGTGTCCTTTTCAAAAGCACACCAAAACGCATCTATTGATTTCTAAAGAAAACGCACCTGTTTTTTGAATCACATGTCCAAGTATCACAGGTGCATAATTGGAGTCAGGAGTCCAGAAAACGTAGTAAAAATGCATATGCGTTTTTATCGCTTTTTTTGAACAGAGCAGTGTGAAAGCGCCCATTTGCTCCAAACGCAGATAATGTGCAAACAGTCCTTGAATCCCCCCTGACTCAAACTCAATGCAGCTAAATAAGTGGAAAACATAAATCTTTTATACGGAGGTCAGCACACTTATAATAATAAATGGCTGAATATTTTGATTCCATAATTCCTGCTTTGACTGTATTAAACATGGTAATAGTTGGATGGTTACAACTGGGAATACATATGCAAAAGTGAGCCTGCCGGGCTGGGATACATTGAGTGAAAAATGATTCCCCGAAACTGTGTTTTTGTTCACATAAAGTGTTTTTTGTATTTTTTTTTTATGATTTGTCAATAAAGCTTGCACATGCCTTTCTATTTTTTTTAAGAGTGGATTCATTGTCAAAGAATGTTGTTGGAGTAGCCCCTGGAGCAGGGGCGGACTGACCATTTGGAAACTCAGGCACTGCGGGATGCCCCTGGTACCTTTTTCATAGGCTTTTTTGAGTTTGGGCAAGGACACGGGGGCCCCATGATCCCCTATTGCCCGGGGGCCCAATGAGTTGTCATTCCGCCCCTGCCCTGGAGGCAATTAGGGACCACCAAGTGGCTCGGTGGGCCGACATTTCACCTTAACCTCCCTAGCAGTCTGATTATGTCCAGTATTTCTGTGCTCAAAGCGGTACTTTTTTTTGCATGGAAATATGTTGTTTTTTTTATTGTAGGCCTGTAATTTTTAGGAATAACTCACTGAAATCTGTCCGAACAAGAGTCTAGTAAACATCCCGGATATGATAAAGTTTGAAACACGAAATCATAAATTATAATATAATAAATAATCATAAAAAAAAATGATATAATAAATTTAATTCAATAATATAATCAAACCAAAAACACTGAAATGTGAAATATAGCGCCAAGTTCGCACATCGCTGAGCAAAGTCGCAGAATCGTTTTCAGTGTCTGATGAGAATTTCCCCCACGAATCATTATCACTCAATTCTGCAAGTGGTTCTGATTTACTATCGCTGTTCTCTAGCCGGTCTAAAACCGCTTTTGACCTAAAGGGACGCTTTTTGGACGCCATGGACGTTTCTCAGTTTCCAGGCAGAAAGAACAGTAAAAATGCAGGCAGGGCGCCGGACAAAGCACTCGGGACAAATGTATGTGAAATGGTTTGATACAGGAATGTTATACTATGTGATTTTAGTGTATTTAGTGAATGTCATTTTTTACAATTTTTGAATTTCCCGCCGTTCTGTCCCCCGTACGTCCCGACATCACAGGGAACAGAACCCGGAAGACAGATGCCGGCATCGGCCGGAGGAGATGGCCGGGGACACTGCAGGAGGGACATCGCGGGAGCGCAGGACAAGGTAAGTGCAGAAGGGACCCCGGAGCAACGCTGCAGAGTATTCCCGAGTGTAGCTCGGGTCGGGTTACCGCTTGTGGTGCTGAAACTTTACCCCGAGCTACACTCGGGAATACCGCCAGGGGGGTTAAGGGCTGGTTCACACCACAAAAATGCACTCCGGATACGTTTTTGCTTACAGTTCACACCACACGCAGTTCCGATGCAGTTTTGATGCAGTTTTGATGCAGTTTGCAATGTTCCATTACAGTTCTGTGCAGAAAAAATGCAGCATGTTCTACTTTTTTTTTCTACACCGAAACCTGACTTGAACTGACTGCACTGGTGTGAACCAGGACCATTGGAATACATGAAGAACACTGTGCATGCATTTTTGTTGCAGAAAAAAAAAATGCACTGGACTGCATCTAGTGTGAACTTGCCCTAAGAGTGAAATCCTTGACTTCTGAAGGCCTGAGCACCAGCCACTTTTGAAAGGGTTAACAGAATTTATTCAGCATGAAAATCTCAAGGATAGAGGTATTAGGGCACAGGATACCCAAAAGAGCCAACACAGACTTCAGCTAGCTGCATTCTTCCGCACCGCAAACACATGTAAATGCAAGCAAGTCCACTGCAACGCATCACACCGCACATAAATGCACAAAGAAAAAAATAAGAAAATTACCTCAAAGGCAAAAATGCATTGTAAACGCACATAAAACGTTCACCAAACGCATGCCGATGTGCTTGCAAAAATGCAAAGTAAATGGGCAGTTTGTGGATGTGAATGGGCCCTCAGTCTCTATATTCTTCTGACTACAAAGCCATAGCATCGCCAGACTCCCTGGGTGTGATAATCAGAAATCACCTGCGCCTTGTTCGTGTTCTTGGCTTCCGTTCTGTCTCGTCTCATTCGGCTTTCTCCTCCTCCTGCTGATGTCTATCAACAGGGGCGGACTGACAATTCATGGGGCCCCTGAGCAATAGGGGATCATGGGGCCCCTGTGTCCTTGCCCAAACTCAAAAAAAAACCTATGAAAAAAAAGGTACCAGGGGCATCTCATGGGGCCCCCTACTGACCTAGGCCCTCAGGCAGTGCCCTAGTTTCCAAATGGTCAGTCCGCCCCTGTCTATCACCATACCAGAGGAAAAAACACAGATTCTATGTTCTAGACATGAGCCATTTGCTTCGTTCCAAATTGAAATTTGCACAAAATTTTCGTTATTCTGAGATTCAGATGTATCCGAATTCCTGATTTACAATAGTAATGAAATTAAACAAATTCGAAATAACGAAACAAAATTTTGTACAAAATAACGAATGATCCAAATCAAATTCAAATATGAAATCAAATTCAAGAACAAATTTAAAATGTAAATATATTGCTGACTATTGCTGATTTCCTTCAAAGACGGTGGGGTTTATTTATTAAACCTGGAGAGTGCAAAATCAGGCTCACTTCTGCATAGAAACCAATCAGCCTCCAGGTTTTATTGGAAACGCTTAATTGAACAAGCTGAGGTTAGATGCTCTATGCAGAAGAGAGCTGGAGTTTGCACTCTCCAGCTTTTGTAAATAAATAAACCCCTATGTGTATTAGAATATAGCCATCTTTCGAAATCTGAATTTCGAAAGGAATAGAATAAAACAGAAAATAAAATAAAAGAATAGAAATTAATAGAACATAATAGAAAATAAAAGAATATAGTAGAAAAAAATAGACTAGATTAGAATAGAATATAATACAATAGAAAGAATATAGCCCTTTTCTGAAATTTTAATTTAGAAAAGAATATAATAAAACATGACAGAATATATAATAAAAGGAATAGAATAGAATAAAATCGACTATAGTGGTCTTCTGAAATTTGCATTTTGAATAGAATGTGCTATGCTTATATTATTGGTCTCCAAACTGCGGCCCAGGGGCTGTATGTGGCCCTCTATTTGCCTTTATCTGGCCCTTGGGGCACCAGTTCACCAACTGACAGCAATGATGGGACACTATTCCTCGCACTGACACCAATGATGGGGCGCTATTCCACCAATTGACATCAATGATGGGACACTATTCCTCACACTGACAGCAATGATGAGGCACTATTCCTCCCACTGATACCAATGATGGGGCACTATTCCTCCCACTGACACCAATGATGGGACACTATTCCTCCCACTGACACCAATGATGGGGCACTATTCCTCCCACTGATACCAATGATGGGGCACTATTTCTCCAACTGATACCAATGATGGGGCACTATTCCTCCCACTGACACCAATGATGAGGCACTATTCCACCCACTGATACCAATGATGAGGCACTATTCCACCCACTGATACGAATGATGGGACACTATTCCTCCCACTGATACCAATGATGGGGCACTATTCCTCCCACTGACACCAATGATGGGGCACTATTCCTCCCACTGATACCAATGATGGGGCACTATTCCTCCCACTGATACCAATGTTGGAGCACTATTCCTCCCACTGATACCAATGATGGGGCACTATTCCTCCCACTGACACCAATGATGGGGCACTATTTCTCCCACTGATACTAATGATGGGGCACTATTTCTCCCACTGATACTAATGATGGGGCACTATTCCTCCCAGTAATACCAATGATGGGACACTATTCCTCCCACTGATACTAATGATGGGGCACTATTCCTCCCACTGATACCAATGATGGGGCACTATTCCTCCCAGTAATACCAATGATGGGGCACTATTCCTCCCACTGATACCAATGATGGGGCACTATTCCTCCCACTGATACCAATGATGGGGCACTATTCCTCCCACTGATACCAATGATGGGACACTATTCCTCCCACTGATACCAATGATGGAACACAATTCCTCCCACTGATACCAATGATGGGACACTATTCCTCCCACTGATACCAATGATGGGGCACCATTCGACTAACTGACACCAATGATGGAGCACCATTCCTCCTACTGATATCATTTGGACATTATTTTCCCCATCAATACTAAAATTGGGGCACTATTCCTCCCAATAAAACCAATGATGAATCGCTGATACTGGGTTGTTTCTACTCCCACTGGGTACAGTCCGGCCCCCCTAAAGCTTGAAGCACAGTAAACTGGCCCTTTTCTTAGAAACTTTGGAGACCCCTGGCCTACATATTCCGACAATGTAAGCATTTTGGTTTTTAGCTCCGGTATTGCTAGGTCAATTCCGATAAGTTCCCAGTTATGCTGCTAATGCGAATGATCACACGTCCTGTCACACTACACTTGTCGTCATGAACAGGACTGGCCATTTCAGACAACGGTGATGGGAATTGCACGGTGGCAGAGCACAGCAGTGATCCTTCACAGGGAAGAGAAAAGAAGGGAAAAATTCCTGATTATAAGCCAACATCCCCAAGACAACAATTGGAAGAAGGGGAGACCCCCTAACACTGGGATTTAAGGGCTTAGAAAGTACTGGAAGTATTAAAAAAGTATACATTTTATTGTCAAAAAAGGTGATAACACAAAGACATACAATACAATACATCATACAGATTCATAATAAAGCATCACAATCAGAAAATGAAATGACATGATAAGGATACCCAGTATAACTGCGTTTGATTGTTCATAAAAGATACAAATTGGTATCATTATAGATGTAATAAAGCTGCAGAGATACTAATCTAATTGTTCCAACGCGTTTCAGAGTGATTCCACTCCTTCCTCAGGGAAAAGAGAAGAAATCTGCATATGGGTGACATCATCTACAGGATTCAACATTTGTTTGGAATCCCTGTGGCACAGCTGGATGTCATCACTGCTCTATATCATAGGGAGCCTCTCTCCTGTTCTCTGCTAATCCTCGTTCTCTCCTGTTCTCTGATAATCCTCGTTCTCTCCTGTTCTCTGATAATCCTCGTTCTCGCCTGTTCTCTGCTAATCCTCGTTCTCTCCTGTACTCTGCTAATCCTCGTTCTCTCTCCTGTACTCTGATAATCCTCGTTCTCTCCTGTTCTCTGCTAATCCTCGTTCTCTCCTGTTCTCTGATAATCCTCGTTCTCTCCTGTTCTCTGATAATCCTCGTTCTCTCCTGTTCTCTGATAATCCTCGTTCTCGCCTGTTCTCTGCTAATCCTCGTTCTCTCCTGTACTCTGCTAGTCCTCGTTCTCTCCTGTACTCTGATAATCCTCGTTCTCTCCTGTTCTCTGCTAATCCTCGTTCTCTCCTGTTCTCTGATAATCCTCGTTCTCTCCTGTTCTCTGCTAATCCTCGTTCTCTCCTGTTCTCTGTTAATCCTCGTTCTCTCCTCTTCTCTAATAATCCTCGTTCTCTCCTGTTCTCTGATCATCCTCGTTCTCTCCTGTTCTCTGATAATCCTCGTACTCTCCTGTTCTCTGATAATCTTCATTCTCTCCTGTTCTCTGCTAATCCTCGTTCTCTCCTGTTCTCTGATAATCCTCGTTCTCTCCTGTTCTCTGATAATCCTCGTTCTCTCCTGTTCTCTGCTAATCCTCGTTCTCTCCTGTTCTCTGATAATCCTCGTTCTCTCCTGTTCTCTGCTAATCCTTGTTCTCTCCTGTTCTCTGATAATCCTCGTTCTCTCCTGTTCTCTGATAATCTTCATTCTCTCCTGTTCTCTGTTAATCCTCGTTCTCTCCTGTTCTCTGATAATCCTCGTTCTGTCCTGTTCTCTGCTAATCCTCGTACTCTCCTGTTCTCTGATAATCTTCATTCTCTCCTGTTCTCTGTTAATCCTCGTTCTCTCCTGTTCTCTGCTAATCCTCGTTCTCTCCTGTTCTCTGCTAATCCTTGTTCTCTCCTGTTCTCTGCTAATCCTCGTTTTCTGCTGTTCTCTGATAATCCTCGTTCTCTCCTGTTCTCTGCTAATCCTCGTTCTCTCCTGTTCTCTGCTAATCCTCGTTCTCTCCTGTTCTCTGCTAATCCTCGTTCTCTCCTGTTCTCTGCTAATCCTCGTTCTTTCCTGTTCTCTGATAATCCTCGTTCTCTCCTATTCTCTGCTAATCCTCGTTCTCTCCTATTCTCTGATAATCCTTGTTCTCTGCTATACGCTGCTAATCCTTATTCTCTCCTGTACTCTGCTAATCCTCGTTCTCTCCTGTTCTCTGCTAATCCTCGTTCTCTCCCTGTTCTCTGCTAATCCTCGTTCTCTCCTGTTCTCTGCTAATCCTCGTTCTCTCCTGTTCCCTGATAATCCTCGTTCTCTCCTGTTCTCTGCTAATCCTCATTCTCTGCTGTTCTCTGATAATCCTCGTTCTCTCCTGTTCTCTGCTAATCCTCATTCTCTGCTGTTCTCTGATAATCCTCGTTCTCTCCTGTTCTCTGATAATCCTCGTTCTCTCCTCGTTGCTGTATTGTCTCCCGTTATATTGTAAAGCGCTGAGCAAACCGTTGGTGCTATATAAATCCTGTATAATAATAATAATATATATCCTCTTAATGCCTATTTGACCAAGAAAATGCTAAAGCAAGAAGGCTGCTGCAGTAATTTAATACAAAACGTGATGCCAGCCAGTGTTATAATTACATGTAAGAAAACAATCAGAATAATCTCTTATTATCAAAAATTAATAAAAAGATAAAACCAAAGATTTAGCTAACGGCAGATGACCAGGGAAACTGTTTTTTGAAGAAAAGAACACCACAGAGATCAAGCAGCCAAGTAACTGGCCCATGTAGAAGGAGCCACTGAGTTTTGGATATTACACCTAATAAGGTCTAAATTAGCCTCCAGAAGTGTTGTGGGCATCAGTGGTGGACTGACAACTCATGGGGCCCCCAGGCAATAGGGGATCATGGGGCCCCTGTGTCCTCGCCCACACTCAAACCACACTCAAAAAAGCCTATGAAAGGTACACCAGGGGCATCTCATGGGGCCCCCTACTGACCCAGGGCCCTTGGGCAGTTCCCGAGTGCCCGAATGGTCACTCCACCCCTGGTTGGCATTACATTTCTAATTCATTGCTTCACTCTGTATGTAATCAGGCAGGCCCTTCTACTACATAGTTGAAGGTAGATCTTAAGGAGATTGTACAATCAGACTGTATAGCATATGGTGAGCTTTACAGACTTCCAGGAACACATTTCTTTTTCAATACGACAGCTCTGCTCCACATAGGCTGTTGTGTGATCGCTCAGCTCCTGCACACTCTACCAAATGAATGAATGATTTATACAAGAAGAAGGCAAGGTACAAAACAATTGCTCAGCAGAGGAAGACACTGGCTGTGTATTTAGTAAGAACGGTGCTCACTGACACTGACTGCATTGGAGACGGATGAAACTCCAGAAGTGGGCAGGAGCAATATTCTGGAGGGGGAGGGTAGGTGCAGTGTGTGTGTTAATGATGTCAGCTGCTGAACTACTTCCTTTTAATGGATTTTATGTCCTAAGATAGTGATAGTCATGGAGGAGTTTTCTACAGGAGACAGTAGAGGCTGAGATAAAGCCTGCTCTAGAATATAGAGAAAGCTTTTTATTTTCCTCAACAGAAGTATATTATCAATATATTGGTACATAGGGATGCTGGAATTTAGAAAAAAAAAAGGTGAGCTTAGCCTTTAAACATCTATAATGCAATGATCTGGGCCACGGAGAAGGCAATGGCAAAAAGCTGTATAGCTAGTAGAGTAGGTTGGTAGTCAGTGAAATTAAAAAATTACCTATCGCCTTTGTCAGTGGAAGGAATAGTACTCCACCACTGGTGTCAATGGGAAGAAACTGCCCCGTCATTGTTGTCAGCATGGGAAATAATGCCCTATAGTTGATTTCATTATGGGAATAGTGTCCCATTGTTGGTGTCATTGGAAGGAATAGTATCACATTATTGGTGTCAGTAGGAGAAATGGTGCCCTACCAATGCCCAAGGGCTAGTTATGGACAAGCAAAGGGCTTCATCCAGCTCATGGGCTGCAATTTGGGGGCTACTGCCCTAGTTAAGGCTGAATTTCAGAAATTCAATAACAATAAGGGAAATAGCTTAAGTGGTGCCATTTAAAACATAATTTTAGATGTTTGCTTTGGCAGCACAAATACTACAGTTGGAAAGGATACAAAGAAGATTAGCATGGCCCCAGTGCAAGGATGATACAAAATGTGTGAAGCTTTCCATTTATTTTTTGTCATTTACACAGTGTAGTTGGCAACCTATTCTTCTCAACACATATTGTTGCATCTGTTTTTTTTCATGGAAATGGCATGTCGCTCTTTGCTGTTTGGGTGTATTACCTATGACATGTTTTTGCTCACCATTTTCAACAGTTATTTCCTGTCCTTGTATTGAAATACTTAAAATTTTTATAAAAATGTTTAACCAAATAATAATAATTTTAAATATCTCTTTTTATTTATTGAACTTTTTATTGATAAGCGGGATGTAGGCAGGTGCAGTCTACTTTCTCTACTGTGGGTGGTGTTCACAGCGGCATTGCAGTTGGAGAGGAAGACGAGAGGAACATGGTTACTCTATAGTTTCCTGGGTCACTGGGGAAGCTTTTCGATTGCATGCTGCCGCCCTATGTGATCCTAGCAGCCATCTTGGGTCAGGTAAAGTCTATTTCTTGTTCAAATATTTTTTGGCATTTTAACAGGGAGGAAAAGAAGGGACATTGATAATAGACATTTCTCAGACATAAAATCATAGAAATTGGCATCAATGACAATAATGTCTTTACAAAGAAGGGGAATGGTGGTATAACAATATGACATTTCAGAAAACATAAGGTGGGTAAAACTAGTCGCTTAAGTACATGCAAAATTTTGACAAGTAAATAGGCGCTCCCCAATGTTTCATAGGGGGATCATAACATAGGAGTGTAGAGTTATGCAGGATGGTTAGGGGGAAAGGGGTTAGGGGGGAGAAAGAAAAAGAGAAAAGAGAAAAAAATAAGAGGGGGGAAAAAAGGGGGGGAGGTAAAGCCTATTTAAGGCCCTGGCTCTCAGACTTGACATGCACTTGCGAGTGGATAGAGTAGGAACAGGTCAACTGTCGGTTAGGGACAGAACTAGTAGCAGGGAAAGGTTCCTGATGAGGAGGGAAAGCGTAGGGCTTGCAACTTCTGGCTTCTGCCCCTCCCAACAGGCGCTGTCAGTCCAAATCTGCTCTCTACATGCTGCTGGGCCCCTACCGGGGGCGGACTGACAACTCATGGGGCCCCTGGGCAATAGGGGATCATGGGGCCCCTGTGTCCTTGCCCAAACTCAAAAAAGCCTATGAAAAAGGTACCAGGGGCATCTCATGGGGCCCCCTACTGACCCTGGGCCCTCAGTTACTGCACGAGTTTCCAAATCGTCAGTCCGCCCCTGTCCCCTAGTGTTCCTGGTTGGAGCTGCCCTCCCACCAGGTTTATTGTGAACTGTTTCGCATCATTTCAATACATGTCCTTTCATGGCATTTGGGACTGTGTGTGTCATTGCAACCATGTTCTAAATACATGAAGTATGTGCATTCTTACTTGAATCTTGGGGTACTTTGAGTATTTCTTCTAGTTCTGTGCAGTAATCCAGTTTGAAACTTTGCCTCTATACAGGAGCTTCCTGTAATAAAGGCTGGTCACTGCTGCTTTCTCTCCTTGTTCAAGTTCTTGGTCTTCCCTCTGCCCCTCCTGTAGTTTTCTGCAGGCAGCCTGTGGCGCAGGGGCGGACTGATCATTCCAGCTTTTGGGCATTGCCCGAGGGCCCGGAGTCAGTAGGGGGTCCGGTGAGAGGCTCACTGGGCACAATTCACTAAGCGGTATCTCTCCGCATCTGAGTATGCAGTAGAATCCTGCATAGCATTTTATAAAAAGAAAGTTTGAATTCACCAAAAAATGCTACTAAAATACCGTACAAGTTATTTTATCAAGTCATGCGCTATTTTAGTAGTGAAAACCATGCAGTGTTAATGCCTCAACTGTCAGCGGGGTTTCCCACTGACAGCTGAATGTAAAAGAAAGAATTGCTGGCAATTAAAAAACTAATTAAAAAACAGTGTGGGGTCCTCCCTCCCATCCATAACAAGCCCTTCAGGTCTGATATAGATTTTGAGGGGAACGCCCACGCCTAAATTAAAAAAAGAAATGGTGTGGGGTGCCCCCCAAACTCCATACTAGACCTTTATCCGAGCATGCAGCCCGGCAGGTCAGGAAAGGGGGGGACGAGCGAGCATCCCCTCCCCTCCTGAACCATGCTAAGACACATCCCCTCAACATGGGGGGGTGCTTTGGGGTGAGGGGGATCCCTCCCCTAAGGCACCTTGTCCCCATGTTGATGGGGACAAGGACCTCTTCCCCACACAACTCTGGCCAGTGGTTGTGGGGGTCTGCAGATGGGGGGCTTCCCAGATCCCGGCCTCCCCCCCTATGTGAATGAGTATTGGGTACATGTGAAAAAAGACAGGAGCCAGTCTTTGACAAGTCCTTTATTAAAAGAAGAGAAAAAAATAATGTACCCCGAAGTAGATCCAACGTCAATCACAATGCCCACCGCTGCCAACCGAAAAAAGAAAAAAAAAAAAAAAGACTCCGCTCCCGATGTTAGCTCCCGGCCATCTGACTGCTCCGCTGACTTGACAGTTCTTAATATGGCCACCCAGTGACATCATGTGGCCCCACCCCCTTGTGACATCATTGACCCAGCATGCTGCGGTGGATGATGCCACAAGGGGCGGGGTCACATACGTGATGTCCCTGGGTGGCCACGCTCCTTACATATTTAAGAATTGTCAAGCCAGTGGAGCATTCAGATGTCCGGGAGTCAGCGTCAAGAATGAAGACCTTTATTTTCTTTTTTTTGGGGTGGAGGCGGCGGGCAACATGATTGACGTTGAATCTTCTTTGGGGGACATTCTTTTATTTTCTTGTGAATGGGTAGTGTGGTACCATGTACCCCATACTCATTCACATAGGGGGTCCAGGATCTGGGGGCTTCCAGATTCCGATAATTCCCCCACCCGCAGACCCCCACAACCATCAACCAGGGTTGTGGGAAAGAGGCCCTTGTCCCCATCAACATGGGGATAAGGTGCTTTGGGGTGATTAGGTTAGGTGTGACACTGTCCCTGTGAAAGCACGCTGGATATTGCATCTGGCAGTCTTCTCCCTTATAAGCCCTGGAGGTGTAGAGTCACTCACTCTACTGTCCCTTGTATCCAGCTGCTTTGGACAAGACTGCTTGTTCAGACCTTTTAGCTGTGCTAGTCTTCCCATGCTAGGCAGGGTGCCTGCTGGATAGGATTTGTAGTAAAGTTTCCTCTCTCTAGTTTCTTTTCCTTCCTTCCTTCCTTCCTTCTTCCCTCCTTCCTTTCCTTTCCTTCCTTCCTTCCTTCCTTCTCCTTCCTTCCTTCCTTCCTTCCTTCCTTCCTTCCTTCCTTCCTTCCTTCCTTCCTTCCTCCTCAACTCCTGCCTGGAGGCAGAGCAGCCCTTCCATGGGGTCCCCTCCCAGGTCTCATAAACCTCAGCACTTTATCTTCCACCCAATCACCAGACTCTTCTGCTGGCTAGGCTCTTTCATATTTATAGGCCTCCTGCCTGGGATTGGTAAGACTACCATAAATATGCAACCTCTAGGCTTCTGCCCACTAGCTTCTAAATACTTCTGGAAGAACTCCAGAACCAGAGGGAGGCACCAGAGGCTTGACCTGAAGAGCCCTCCAGCCCAGGGGCAAACTGACGATTTGGAAACTCGGAACTCGGGCACTGCCCGAGGGCCCGGGGTCAGTAGGGGGCCCCATGAGATGCCCCTTGTACCTTTTTCATAGGCTTTTTTGAATTTGGGCAAGGACACAGGGGCCCCATGATCCCCTATTGCCCGGGGGCCCCATGAGTTGTCAGTCCGCCCCTGCTCCAACCTGACCTAAAGTAAACCCAAAGCAGTTCCCAGACTCACCACACTACCAGCCATTACATTTTCCTCACTCTAATTACAGAGAAGCCTTGACATGGGCACTGCAGCTTCCACATATATTTTCACATGTGTGCAACTAA